CCCAGACTGGAGTGCAGTGGACACTCCCGGCCACCGCAGTCTCGACCTGCTGGGCTCCAGCGATCCTTCCCCCTCAGCCTTCCGAGTAGCCAGAATTACAGGCACGCGCTACCATGCCCGGCTAATTTTTTGATTTTATTGTAGAGATGAGGTCTCGCCTGCCCAGGCGGGTCTCGAACCCACGGGCTCAGGCAATCCACTCACCTCAGCCTCCCAAAGGTGCGGGATTACAGGCTGAGCCACCAAGCCCAGCAAGAGTAATATCTTACTAGTCATTTTTTTGTAACATGCAGATACTAATACTCAAGAGGGCTATTTTAAGGATCAGATATAAAGCATATACTGAGCACAACAGCTGGCACAGACATACAGTAGCTATAACTAGTGTTACCAGAGAAAGCTGGAATACTTTCTGTAGATCATTGTATGACTTGAAAACAGGCCGTATCTGTGCTAGCTACACTTTTTGCATTTATGCTTACTTCATCCTAGAATATTAACCTAGAGTCATGACTCAAAATGAGGTATAAGTTATGATGGGTGAGGTAACATTCCTAAAGTCCATAATCAAGATGAAAGCAGAGCTGTCAAGTGGTAAGAACAAGGACAGACAACTAGTAGCTGACCGTGTCCTCACTCTAATTACTTCACCTGCCAGTGAAGGAGCATCAGATATGTAGTCAGACTCTCTGCTCTATTTCTATGAGAGCAGAGGACCATCTCAGTCTGGCCAATTGTCAGCACAGAGCCTGGCACAGTATAGGAGCTCAGACTCTGTATAAATTCTAGCTCAAGTCAGGTGTGGTAGCTCATGCCTGTAATCCCGGCACTTTGGGAGGCCGAGGCTAGGGGATTGCCTACGTCCAGGGTTTCTAGACCAGCCTGGGCAATATCTCACTTGGTGAGATCTCATCTCTAAATAAAACAAAAAATTAGCCAGGCATGGTGGCGCTCGCCTGCAGTTCCAGCTACTTGAAAGGCTGAGGTGAAAGGAACGTCTGAGCCTAGCAGGTCAAGGCAGCAGGGACCATGAGTGTGCTACCACATTCTAGCCTAGGCAAGAGAGTAACACTCTGACAAAAACAAACAAACAAAATTCCAGTTCAACCATTTATTAGCAGTAAGAATTTAAGCAGATAACTTTAATATCTAAACTTGAACCTATGCATCTCTACCCTCAAGGAATTTATTGTGAGAATGAAAGCATATAGTTACTGTCCTGGAACAGAGCTGTTATTATAAACTGTAGTTATTTCCCAAGAAATATTAATGATGATGACACCATAATAAAGAGTAAATGTAATTTCTTCCCTTTGCAAAATCCTTTTCTCTGAAAAATCTGAGTTTCTTCTAACATGTATAATCAAGACTGGATAGCATTTTGATTTACAAACTTAATTTATTTATCTGTGGGTTTTCAAATTTGTCAAATTTTCTGTAGTATAGTACCTCTTAAAGCTGGACTAGTTAAGTTTAGTTTGTTTCAAAAAAATGAAACAGAGATACTAATTACAAGTACAGAGGGTAAAATTAAAAACTCAGCCTTCTTAGTTACATAATCTGTCAATTAGCATTAAAGGATGTTTATTTTAGAAAAAAATTTTATTAAAGTTGATCAAATCTCAGATTTAGCTTTCCATGGAGTACTGTAATATTCTATAATATTTTATCTTCACTAATTTAATTTATGCTTTCACAAAATATTTTAAATTCTTGAGAGAATATACCTCATAAATTGTATAAGAAGTTATTTGGCTTATTTCTAACATGGACCAAAGCAGGGACAGCAAATTCAAAAACCCATAAGCACCAACCAAGAAGGTAATAAAATTAGTAAATAAGATTGGGTTTATGAAAAATTGTGAGTGGTAGAGACTGATGAACTAGATAGCAGGTGCCCAATATATGGACAACAGCCATCACTCTCAGGTCTAGCAGACTTCTGTCACTTGGGAATTCTAGCCCAGGGATATCAGGACTCTCAATTTCAAGAGAAGGTACAACTTCAAAGCTTTTTAATCTCAGCAATCAATCAAAATAAACACTCCTGTGGGTCTGACTCAGCCAGCAGGCAGAAAGGCTCTATGGAAAGAGTTGCCTCTGTGACATGAGCTACTGTAGATGAAGTATTTATTTTTTTACTTCAAACATATCTATTCTGTAAGTTTTAATTTTGCAAAGAAAGTTGAAATAGAAGAAAAAAATTTGAGGAAACCATAAATTTAACACTATATATGCTAAATTATACTTTAAGTTTTAGAGCAGTTTTCCCCAAAATTCAAAACACTGCCTTACTTAGAGAATTTCCAAAATAATAATTTCTACTACGTGACTTTCTCACGCACATATGTTACATTAAGGGACAAAACTGGACTAGATTTAGGCCTCTTTCAGATATAACTCCAGCTCTACCTGAGAGTAGAACCTACCATCATTTTTATTGGCATTATATAAAACCTTTTTCCTCTTCTTTTTATTCTTCTTTGCACACCATAGTTTTCCTGTGGAGCAATCATAAACATAACTATAAATGTGTTTCCTTGAATAAAGTCACATATTTCAAATAGAAGAACTCACATAGTTTTTAATTTAAATTTATAAATACTTATTATACTGTTCATAGAAAGATTATTTTTCAAGAAAGTATTTTTCATTAATTGAACATTATAGACAGATAATATGTAATACTTAAATCTTGTCCTTTCTTCACACTTCTAAGATAGATAGTTTTGCCTCTGACATTACTTTTTCTGTGACTATATCTTTCTTGATAGTTCTAAATAATATGCAAAAAATTTGAGATGAAGACCAAGAAACCTCTTATTAATGTCAAATAGAAGTACCAAACCTGATTTTTCTGGCTCCTTATCTTCTTCTATGGTTTGCTTCATGGCTTCCCTTTGCTGCTGAAAGCTTTTCCCTTAATACCAGAAAAACATAGGGTAAAATACTTAAAATGAAAGAACAAAAATATATTTTTTAATCAAGAGGAAAATACTAGAAATAACTCTTCATTTATATTCCTTTCAAATTCTTCTGCCAACACAAGAGTGATGTCAGCTATGATATGAGACTCCAAAGTTATTAAGCTTTTAAACTATTAAGTTTCAACCCATTTCAACCAATTCTGTGATACGTATTATTGGCATATATAACATCTGTTAGAACAAATGAATAATAAACCTACATTTAAAAATGTAGCAGCTCAAATTTTAACAAGATTTCACTGAACATTGCATTTACTTTGTGGAAAGTACTATCCTGCATCTTACGATGATTCTGGTCATTTAGAAGTACCTCAAATCAAGCATATCAATTATTGGAGTTAACTTTTCCAAAATAATACGTGGGCACTCATCATTTTCAATTCCAAGACACCATTCAACATATTCCCTTGCAATTGTCATTCATAATCACTTTTTTTGTTTGTATGTAGGTATACATGTTCATGATTTTTTATTTCCATCTTTAAGTTACCAATGATACAAATAAATAGAAAACATGTTTTTCCTTGCAAAATTGATTTTAATACAGGAGGCTTTTAAGGTTTCTGACCTTCATCTTCTTTCAGATCTCTACCTTAAAATCAAATGTACTTTTTTACTGAAGGATAAAAGTGGTTTTACTTAGAAAATTCTGGATCACATTAAGTATCTACTTTTATATTTAATTTTTAAACCTAACTTTTCCAGTTTAAAGCCAGGAATTATTTTATTTTTCATATTCATATAACTTTTATTATAGTATATTGCTATAATTGTTCTTTTTTATTAGTTATTGTTATTAATCTCTTACTGTGCCTAATTTATAAATTAAACTTTATCATAAGTATGGACACATAGGAAAAATATAGTGTATAAAGGGTTTGGTACTATCCAAGGTTTCAGGCATCCACTGGGGGTCTTGGAATGTATCTAATGATATCATGGATAAGGGGAGACTACTGTATGCAAAACCAAAGCCACACAACAGTGAGAAACATGAACAAGGCAAATCCAAGTTATAAATGAAGCCATTCTTCTGAATTTCCAGTTTTCACTGAGCGTCAAAAACCACCAATCTTTTAGTCATTTTCTTTTTTTTTTTGAGTTGGAGTCTCACTCTGTCAACCAGACTGGAGTGCAGTGGCACACTTCCGGCCACCATAGCCTCGACCTCCTGGGCTCAGGAGATCCTTCCGCCTCAGCCTTCCAAGTAGCGGGAACTAAAGGCACATGCTACCACGCCCGGCTAATTTTTGATTTATTGTAGAGATGAGGTCTCGCCATGTTGGCCAGGTGGGTCTCGAACCCCCAGGCTCGGCAATCCACTTGCCTCGGCCTCCCAAAGTGCTGGGATTACAGGCTGAGCCACCGAGCCCGGCCTGGTCTTTTTCTTGCCCATTATTCTGCATCCACATTCTCTGCATCTGGTTGGATCTCTGGATTTTATTTCATTTTCTGTGCGACATTCTCCACAGATATATATATCACTGGCTGCTGCTTTGGGGGTTGAACACCCTTCTGGGTGTCCAGTGTTAGCCCCTATGCAGAACCCAGAAAACTTCTCACTCCATACTTCCAAACAGAATCCAAGTCAGGGATTCTTAAAAATCAATAAGCTCCCCCTTCTCCCCGGTGGTTAGTGCTGAGAGTGCGGAGTGTGTGCTCCGGGCTCGGAACACACATTTATTATTAAAAAAAAAAAAAAAATCTTAAAAAATCTTTCAAAAAACGCCCCCCCCCAAAAAAATTACAAAAAATCCACGTCTCCTCCGCCGGAGACTTATTTTTTTTCCTTTCTCTTTTATAAAATAACCTGGTGAAGCAGCCGAGACCAACCCGCCCGCCCGCGGCCCCGCAGCAGCTCCAAGAAGAAACCAAGAGACCGAGGCCTTCCCGCCGCCCGGACCCGACACCGCCACCCCCTGCCGGCACTCGGCCTCAGCGGCAGTGGATCGACTCCGTCCTGCGGCCGTTGAGTAGTTTTCGATTCCGGTGGATTTTTGTCCCTCTGCGCTTACCCCCGCTCCCCACCCCCGGCCCCGGCACTCGTTCTCCTCCGCTCACGGAAAGGTCGCGGCCTGTGGCCCCGCGGGCAGCCGTGCAGAGATGAACCCCAGCACCCCCAGCTACCCCATGGCCTCTCTCTACGTGGGGGACCTGCACGCCGACGTGACCGAGGAGATGCTCTACGAGAAGTTCAGCCCGGCCGGGCCCATCCTCTCCATCCGGGTCTGCAGGGACATGATCACCCACTGCTCCTTGGGCTACGCGTATGTGAACTTCCAGCAGCCGGCGGAGGCGCAGCGTGCTTTGGACACCATGAATTTTGATGTTATAAAGGGCAAGCCAGTACACATCATGTAGTCTCAGCATGATCCATCACTTCGCAAAAATGGAGTAGGCAACATATTCGTTAAAAACCTGGACAAATCCATCGATAATAAGGCACTGTATGATACATTTTCTGCTTTTGGTAACATTCTTTCATGTAAGGTGGTTTGTGATGAAAATGGTTCTAAGGGCTATGGATTTGTACACTTTGAAACACAGGAAGCAGCTGAAAGAGCTATTGAAAAAATGAACGGGATGCTCCTAAATGATCGTAAAGTATTTGTTGGACGATTTAAGTCTCGTAAAGAACGGGAAGCTGAGCTTGGAGCTAGGGCAAAAGAGTTCACCAATGTTTACATCAAGAATTTTGGAGAAGACATGGATGATGAGCGCCTGAAGGATCTCTTTGGCAAGTCTGGACCTGCCTTAAGCGTTAAAGTAATGACTGATGAAGTGGGAAATCCAAAGGATGTGGATTCGTAAGCTTTGAAAGGCATGAAGATGCACAGAAAGCTGTGGATGAGATGAATGGAAAGGAGCTCAATGGAAAACAGATTTATGTCGGCCGAGCTCAGAAAAAAGTGGAACGGCAGACGGAATTCAAGCGCAAATTTGAGCAGATGAAGCAAGATAGGATCACCAGATACCAGGGTGTTAACCTTCATGTGAAAAATCTTGATGATGAACGTCTCCGGATAGAGTTTTCTCCGTTTGGTACAATAACTAGTGCAAAGGTTATGATGGAGGGTGATCGCAGCAAAGGATTTGGTTTTGTATGTTTCTCCTCCCCAGAAGAAGCCACAAAAGCAGTTACAGAAATGAACGGTAGAATTGTGGCCACCAAGCCACTGTTATGTAGCTTTAGCTCAGCGCAAAGAAGAGCGCCAGGCTCACCTCATTAACCAGTATATGCAGAGAATGGCAAGTGTACAAGCTGTGCCCAACCCTGTCATAAACCCCTATCAGCCAGCACCTCCCTTCAGGTTACTTCATGGCAGCTATCCCACAGACTCAGAACCGTGCTGCATACTAATCTTCCTAGCCAAATTGCTCAACTAAGACCAAGTCCTCGCTGGACTGCTGAGGGTGCCAGACCTCATCCATTCTAAAATATGCCGGGTGCTATCCTCCCAGCTGCTCCTAGACCACCGTTTAGTACTATGAGACCAGCTTCTTCACAGGTTCCACGAGTCATGTCAACACAGCGTGTTGCTAACACATCAACACAAACAATGGGTCCACGTCCTGCTGCTGCTGCTGCTGCAGCCACTCCCGCTGTCCGCACCGTTCCACAGTACAAATATGCCGCGGGAGTTCGCAATCCTCAGCAACATCTTAATGCACAGCCACAAGTTACAATGCAGCAGCCTGCTGTTCATGTACAAGGTCAGGAACCTTTGACTGCTTCCATGTTGGCATCTGCCCCTCCTCAAGAGCAAAAGCAAATGTTGGGTGAACGGCTGTTTCCTCTTATTCAAGCCATGCACCCTACTCTTGCTGGCAAAATCACTGGCATGTTGTTGGAGATTGATAATTCAGAACTTCTTCACATGCTTGAGTCTCCAGAGTCTCTTCGTTCAAAGGTCGATGAAGCTGTAGCTGTACTACAAGCCCACCGAGCTAAAGAGGTTGCCCAGAAAGCAGTTAACAGTGCCACTGGTGTTCTAACTGTTTAAAATTGATCAGGGACCATGAAAAGAAACTCGTGCTTCACCGAAGAAAAATATCTAAACATCGAAAAACTTAAATATTATGGAAAAAAACATTGCAAAATATAAAATAAACAAAAAAAGGAAAGGAAACTTTGAAGCTTATGTACCGAGCAAATGCCAGGTCTAGCAAACATAATGCTAGTCCTTGATTACTTATTGATTTTAAAAACAAACAAAAAAAACCCACCAAAAAATAGTAAAACATAAAAACAAATTAATGTTTTATAGACCCCGGGAAAAAGAATTTTCAGCAAAGTACAAAAATTTAAAGCATTCCTCTCTTTAATTTTGTAATTCTTTACTGTGGAATAGCTCAGAATGTCAGTTTTGTTTTAAGTAACAGAATTGATAACTGAGCAAGGAAACATAATTTGGATTATAAAATTCTTGCTTTAATAAAAATTTCTTAAATAAAAACCAATAAGCAAATTCTTATATAGCTTGGGATAATCTAGAATTTAGTGCATTTCATAAGAGCACAAGCAAAATATTAATATTGAATCTGACACAGAAGAAGCATTAAAGGAAGCCTGGTGTCTCTAGGAGCATTACAGACTGCATTCTTAGGAACACAAGTAACTATTATGAGAAGGGAAATTTTAAGAGCCTTAAAATTTAAAAATATGCATTTATCAGACTAGAAAAATCAAGAACAAAAATAATTCAAATCCTTTACATACTAAAATGCTTTAAAAAAATTATGGTGATGTACTTCCATGGCACATTTTTATAGTAGGAACATATGTAGACTATTTTAAAATAGAGGCAAACATTAATGGCAGATGGACGTGATAACTTCTTTAAAATAAAAAACTTCTAATTCTGATGGAAAACCACTGTCAAACTGTAAGGTGAGTCCTTAATCTTATAACAAGACTTAAAAATGGTATCACGCCAGGCGCGGCAGCTCATGTCTGTAATCCCAGCACTTTGAGAGGCAGAGGCGAGAGGATTTGCCTGAACCCACGGGTTTGAGACAAGCCTGGGCAACATGACAAGACTTCATCCCTATAATAAATAAAAACAATTAGCCAGGCATAGTGGCACATGACTCTGGTTCCAGTCACTTGGAAGGCTGAGGCAGAAGGATCACCTGAGCCCAGTAGGTTGAGGCTGTGGTGGCTATGAGCGTGCCACTGCACTCCAGCCTGGGCAACAGTGAGACTCCGATTAAAAAAAAAAAAATAGTATCACTTTACATGCTTTCAGAAACTCAATCAATCAAGAACCACTAGTTCTAAATATTTATAGGCTTAGGTTGGCATGGTGAGAAGCTATCAAATTGATATCTGGCCCAAGCACTGGGTAGAACCAGGATGGCTGCCCAACACTGCAGGATTCTAGAGAAATGCCCTGTATTGTTCCTGTAAAGAATCAAGGGAAGTAGCACCATCCCCTAAAATTAATATAAAAGGCAATTCCTCCTTCCTTAAAATATTACTGATATAGACAAGATCTGTTTCAAGCTTTTGGGTTTTAAAGCAAAAGATTTGAGGCTTTCTGTGACCTTATACACATAAAAAATAAATCTAAGTCAGGGTCTAGTGGCTCATGCCTGCAATCCCAGCACTGGGGGAGGCCAAGGCCAGAGGATTGCTTGAGTGCAGGAGTTCAAGACCAACCTGGGCAATATGGTAAGACCTCATCTCTACAAAAAATTTAAAAATTAGCTGGGTATGGTGATATAGATCTGTAGTCCCAGCTACTTGGGAAGCTGAGGCAGAAAGATCACCTGAGCCCAGGAGGGCTCAAGGCTGCAGTGTGCCATGATCATGTCACTGCACTCTAGCCTGGGTAACACTGTGAAATCCTAACTCAAAAAATAAAAAATAAACCGGGCTCAGTGGCTCAGCCTGTAATCCCACGCCTTTAGGAGGCTGAGGTGAGTGGATTGCCTGAGCCCGCAGGTTCAAGACCCGCCTGGACAGTGAGACCTCGTCTCTACAATAAATCAAAAAATCAGCCGGGCGTTGGTAGCACATGCCTGTAATTCCGGCTACCTGGAAGGCTGAGGCAGAAGGATCGCTGCAGCCCAGTAGGTCGAGGCTGCGGTGGCCGGGAGCGGTCACTGCACTCCAGTCTGGGCAACAGAGTGAGACTCCAACTCAAATAAATAAATAAAAAAGAAGAATTGTAAATATTATGCTGAAATTTGTCACTCAGAAACATCTTGGTTCAGTTGCAAAGGTAAAAGGAAGTCCTTACAATTGTTCCATTGATTATTATCAATTTGGACAACTTTCTCTGTTCCTACTATGTATCTAATGTTAACTTGCCTTAGTTTTGTTTTTCATGCCCTTCTTGTCCTTCTTTCTCGACTATTACCTGTAGTAAAATTCAACATAAGGCAAACTCTATAGCCAAATCTGTTATACTTAAGATCTTTAGGTGTGGGTAGAAGGGATGATCCCCCAAAAATGTTGTAGGTAAAAACACAAGGTCAGAAAGAGTTACAGAAGAGCCTCAGGAAGTTTAATTGAGAAACACTAACTAGTTCTGGTAGAATCATTTTTTTAAAATTCCCTTTTATTTATTAATTAATCATACACTGTCTAGATTTCAAATAAATACAGAGCTGGGCACAGTGGCACATGCCTGTAATCCCAGCATAAGGGAGGCCAAGGTGAGAGGATCACTTGGAGGCCAGGGGGAGTGCAAGACCAGTCAGGGCAACATAAACATGGCGAGACTCCATTTCTACAAAAATATTACAAAACTAGCCAGGCACGGTAGCACACACCTGTAGTTCCTGCTACTCAGAAGGCTGAGTTGGGAAGATCATTTGAGACTAGAAGTTTGAGGTTACAGTGAGCTATAATTGCATCACTGCACTCCAGCTGGGTGACAGGGTGAGACCTGCCAATAGCACAAGATGACATGACATGACATGACATAACATAACGATGCAGCCTCTGACCTCAAGAAGTTTACAACCTGAGAATACAAGGTAGACAGTATTATAAGAGAGACACACAGAGATAATACCATGAAAGTATTTTGAAGCAGGAAACACAGAAAAAAAAAATACATACAGGTAGTAATGGATGTGCTTTTAAGCCAAGTATGGAAGTGAAGCTTATCTCAGCACTAAGTAAAATGACTTATACAGTGCAGACATCATAATATTTACTGAATAAATTATTATACCTTCACTCTATATCCCCACTTTAACATCCTGTATCCATTTCTTTACTTTCTCTAATAACTTCTTATACTTCCCTTGGTCCTGTTCCCCTCACTCCATTATCCCCATCCTGGGAGCCTCAGGAACAATTAATAGGAAAAATTCTATCTTCATACAATCATGCTGCATGACAACAATTCAGTCAGCAATGAACCACATATACAACAGTCAGGGCAACAGGCTACACCACACAGCCTAGGTGTGCAGTAGGCTCTACCATTCAGGCTTGTGTAAATACACTCACTCTGTGGTGTTCATACAATGACGAAATCACCTGATGGCACATTTCTCAAAAAATACTCCCATCCTTAAGCGATGCATAACTGTGCTTTGTTTCACTATGTATCATCTTAACTCTGAGAAACATGTTCCCTTAATAACTTGCATATCTGATGTTTTTAGTCTAAATTAGTTTTCTTTGATAAAAAAACTTGGGACACCCTATTTCTACCCTAAGATCACATTAGATATAATAAATTCAATGTTGCTATTTTCCTGATTTCTTATAAAGAGATACACCTTCCTTCACATATTCCTTCTTAGAAATCATATTGATACCCTTCCTAATTGATGATAATCTTCTGTTATAGTGTAGTATATAGTATAATACAAATTTTGTTGCCTTGATAACAATGTAGTTTTAATATGCCTACAGGTATAGTACAACATGGGACTGTTGATAAAGTAGTATCATAACTCCATTCTGCAGGCCAACAAATTGGCCACATTTCTATTTTAAGATACTTATGCTACAGGTACAACATTAAAAACTCAACTACATAAAAAAGTAAATGCAAAAGTTTTTAAGAAGCATGAAAAAGTGAATTTTTTTCCTTGGGAAGTATTGCTCTTTTTTTGTGAGTCAGGGTCTCACTATGTCACCCAGCCTGAAGTATAGTGGTACAATCACAGCTCACCACAGCCTTGACCTCCTGGGCTCAGGAGATTCTTCCACCTCAGCCACTGAGTAGCTGGGACTATAATCACACACCACCATGCCTGGCTAATTTTTTGATTTTTGGTAAAGACGAGGTCTTGCTATGTTGCCTAGGCTGGTCTCAACTCCTGGGCTCACGTAATCCTCCCACTATGGTCTCCCAAAGTGCTGGGATTATAAGTGTGAGCCATCATAAATGTTCTTTTAATACTTTTAATACTATATACTTTCTATATCATCTCTTACCTGGAACAAGCCCAGCCAGAGGTTGATTATCTTCATCTCCTTCCCTGTAGGCCTGCCACCAGTTTGGATCTTCTTGGCTGATCACATGAAGTATATCCCCTTTTTGAAAAGACAGACCCAACTCTCGACATGGAACGTAAGGATCATCTGAGGGGTCATAGTCAAAATGAGCTTTTACATGGATCTAAAACATAAGAAGGGTAAAAATAAATACAACAATAACAAAACCGCAACATAAAATATTTAAATATAATTTAAAGTGTTACAATTTTTCATCAGTGCAAAGAAATTATGAGTTAGAAGGGTGTTTAGTAAAGTAGCAGTATTTTGAGGCAGTATTTTCTCAGGCTGATCAGCTATCTTCTCTGTTGACTGCAAGTACGTACAGACTGTCCAAACCATTTCTGTTAGCAGCAATAAGCTGAGGGGCAAAGGTGCCTCAAAGGCTTGAGAGAAGGAGTAGAAAGGTAACAGAATACTCCTGACTTGTGAAAACAATGACCCTGCAGTAAGGTATGCAATTTCTAAACTACTGTTACCAGAAAAGGTAGACTCTGAACCTGACCATATCTTATCACCTAAGCAGGTGAGTGTCAGCTTCCCTGCAGCTGTCATTGCCTCTCCACCCCCACTGGCAGTCCAACTATGCTTTAATCTCACTCAGTGTTTCTTCTAAAGGGATATGTTTAGGTTCATGAAACAAGCACACCCCAAACTGCTAAAAGGACCTAAGTCAAGTTTACAATCAATTGCTGTTTATGTACTACACAGTCTTTGAAAGATTATTAATGGTACAAATTATCATAATTTTTGCTAATAGCATGTTTTTGGAAATCACAATAAATCTAATAACTGTGCTATGCTAGTTAGCATTAAAGGTAGATAAAGATTCACATAAACTTTATAGAGAGCTAAGCTATTTCCTTCCTATGCCATTTCTTCCAATGTGCCTCTGTAAAATATAACAAAGTATTCTTACTTCTAAGAATGTATACAGGGATTAATGTTGTATTTAACTTCTCCATGTCTAATTTTTCCTAACCTGGGCAGATGGCATGTGACATTTCCACAGTCTGTAAGAAATCTACTTCATCAAATGAAATCTAACCCTATATACAGTAAGTACCTCTGCCCCACAAAAGTTAAATTCCAAGTTCAGGCTCAATGAACCTAGCAATAGCTTAATAGCCTAAGAATTCTGTGTCTGTTTCTATCCAAATGTTATTGACATTCTTTACGTCTTTTACCTTCACCGTAACTGAGGTTGCATGCCATAAAGATAATACAGGTCGGCTGGGTGCAGTGACTCATGCCTATAATCCCAGCACTTTGGGAGGCCAAGGTGAGAGAACTGCCTGATCCCACGGGTTTGAGACCAGCCTGGGCAACTTGGTGAGATCTCACCTCTACAATAAATCAAAAAATTAGCTGGGTGTGGTATTGCGTGCCTGTAGTTCCAGCTACTTGGAAGGCTGAGGCGGAAGTATCACCTGAGCCCAGCAGGTTGAGGCTACGGTGGCTGTGAGCATGCCACTGAACTCCAGCCTGG